GCGACGGATCCTGGCTCAACCGCGGACCTGATCAAATTACCGACCGAAAATGTATTCGCACAGGTCGCATCCCAAATCAACGACTTCCCCATTTTAAAAGAGAAAATGGTAATGCCATCCGACCGCTTTCCATCACCGCGATCGAGACCTACGGGTTCGATTTGGGAAGGGAACCCAGCTGCATCCAAACCTCTTTTGATGATGTCGTTAATGGCTGCATGCCGTGGAAAGCGGTCGGCACTACAAGATTTTATCCTTCACATTAATTTTACGTCATCTGAAGAAGTATTTCAAACAACTTACGTCATTTTAAAAAATTAACATTTTTGGTCAAAGTATATCTAATCATCAGGAATCAATTTAAACAACCTTTTTTTAAGCTTAAACAATAAGCGACTGTTAATTTTTTTATTGTATTTTGATAATTTTTCGAATAACATACGCATATTTAATAAAGAAGTTAACGTTCAGAGTTGAATTACAGCAGGAAACAGTAGTATAAAAAAGTGATGAATACACATATAAAAAGATAAAAATTTAACATGTAGAGCTTAAAAGCTCTACATGTTAAATTTTTAACAATTTTACTATACTTAAAAGTATAGTAAAATTAGGAAATTAGCCGATTCCACTACCTTGAATTCAACCTTACGGTATCTTCATGCGATCTCGGTCAATTGACCGAAATCACCTGAATTTATTTAAAAAAAATATGTTATAAAATCACTACAAAAATAGGCATTTTATTTCAACACTTCTGGTGTCTCATAAAGTGATGGTGTTGAATGTAGAATAAAGAGTTTTAAAAGGTTCAAATCGACCAAACACCCCTCGATATGGGAAACGCTGTTACATAAGCTGCAATGACCAATCAAAATACAAGTATATGAGAATTCAAAAAACTTGACAACGAACCTTGGTTATAATAATTAATGTCTTAATGTTAGGGTTAGACTAAAATAGAAATCATGGCCTAGGGGTTAGAATCTCTGACTGATATCAAATCGATCTGTCTGTAGATGATGACTATATATATATATATATATATATATATATATATATATATATATATATATATATATATATATCATGCAAATTTGCAATCTTTTGCAATCTATCTATTTCTTTCTCTTTTTATGAATATTTTCTCTTTTCATTACTCTCTATATCTGTCTCCCGGCGAACTCGGATCGTTTCTCGGCCTTTGGCTGAGATTTGATCACGGCTACGACTAGCTTGGACCGGCTCAGGCCTAAACCAGCTAGGACAAGCCATGACCAGCTTTGACTAAGCTCAGACCAGCTTGGACATGCTATGACCAGTTTTGAACCAGTGGCCCGAGTGGAAACGCTCGGGTCTCCCACGCTAAACCGACCTTGTGCCACATCCTTATTTCGTGGGAGTCAAGTAAATATCTCTATATCTGTCTCCCTCTCATTTTATGCATTCTTTCTTCTCTCTTTTCATCTCTCTTTCTCACTATCTCTCATTTCCCGCTCTCTTTCGATTATGTTTTCTGTTCTATTTCACACATATACACTCCTTTTCTCTCTCCCTCTCTCTCTCTCTCTCTCTCTCTCTCTCTTTCTCTCTCTTACACACACTCTCTTTCACACACACTTTATGTGTATTTTATTCCTGTCTCTTTTATTGTATCAATTTCATACATTCTTACTTCTCTGTTTCTCTCTCTGTATATATCTGCCTGTCTGTCTCTATCTCTGTCTCTGTCGCTGTTTCTCTCTTTCATTTTATACATTCTTCCTTCGCTCTTTCTTTCTTTCATATTGTATGCCCGCTTTCTCTTTCTCTTTTGTTTAATGCATTCCTTCTTCTGGCTTTCTCGTATTTTAATGCATTATTTCTCCTCCCTCTTTCTCGTTCTCTTTCATTTTCTCTTTTCTTTCATTCATTTTTTTCGTCGTCGTTTTCCCCACATCCTCGCAATCTCTTCCCTTTCGTTTTTCGCCTCCTCTGCTTTCTTTCACCTTCCACATGTCGTTCTTTCATTCCTTCTTTGATATTTAGTTTCTCTTTCGTTTATTTAATCATTTCTTCTTTTTTTTTTCCAGCGTCTTGCATCTTTTTCAACATCTTGCATCTTTTTCAGCATCTTGCATCTTTCGTTTTAGCCGAGGCGTGTTTTTGTTATTTTCAAACCTGCCATCCGTTTTTGTTTTGTTTTTTTTTTCCTTTTTTTTTTTTTTTTTTTTTTTTTTCTTTTTCGTCCGTCATCCATTTTCTCTGATTATGTTGTACCAATAAATCTTTTACAATGAATAATTTATTTTCGGCACGCACATAAATGACGCGCCACCCCAACATTAACCACTCTAACTCTTTTGAAAAGACACACACTTTCTCTATCTCTTTTTCTTTCCTTCAGTAATGAAATTATTTTAAGAAAGTCGGCGAGTAAGGGGAGGAGAATATGGGGATGGGATCGGTCATGGCAAAATGGGAATATTAAAAAATGGGAGGGAAGAAAATAACGGAAAAACAAAAATTATGAATAATAAATAAATGGAATCAAAAGAAATACAAAAAAAAGGGGGGGGGGTAAAAGAATGAAGAAAATTGAAAGAGTGGCGACGTTCGGGCATTGGGGCGGATGACCGGGTGGAATTGTTGAACAAATAATTCTTCCATGGATGGTCAGCGACAAATTCACTAAAAGACAACTTTATTGAAAGGAACAAAAGTGAGTAAGAAAAAAAGAAAGAGAATGGAGAGGGAAAAGAAAGGAATAAAGTGAAAGGAAAAAAAAGAAGTAAAGACGAAGAGAATAATAAAAGGAAATATGTGAATTAATGAAAGGGGGGGGGAATAGAGAACGAAGGAAAAATGAAAAGAAATTAGAGAGTTTAAAAATAAGGAAAAAGAAAAAATTGCAAAGGAAAGAAAACGAGTCTTTTTTGTTTTGGGGGGGGTTGTTTTGTTTTTTTGGGGGGTTTGGGTTTTTTTAATGATAAAGAGACAAACAAGTCTTCGGATCAAAATATAATTTTGGAGAGAAAAAAGATTTTAGAAATATCGGCTGGAAGAAGAAACGGCAAGAAGACGGAAGAAAGAATGAAGAAAGAAGTCAGAGGGAGAGGTGGAATAAAAGCAAAAGGAAGATGAATTAATAAAAGAAAAGAGAAAGGGGGAGAAATGACGAAGAAGGAAGCGTAGAGAAAAGGAGAAAGAGGAGAGAGTAGTTGAGGGAAAGAAGTCGAAGGAGATGTAAAAAAAAAAAAAAAAAAAAGGAAAAAGGGAGAACGAAATAATAAAGATAAAGAAAAGAAGACTGAGAAGACAGTAAGAGATAAATTTTAGAAAAAAAAAGGCAGAAGAATGAAAAATGAGGCGAATGAAAACGTGTGTATGAGAGTATAAAAAATGAAGGCGGAAATTAAAAAAAAACATGGATAAAGAGAAAAAAATTAGATCGTAAAGAGCTTTCATTGATTGATTTGTTTTTTACGGCTTATCAACCGGTATTTAAAGCCAGGAAACATTTTTAGAGTTTAAGAATTTTGGGGAGTAATAATGACTTACTGATACAAGTCCTGCAATTTAACCCATAGCTTGGGGGATAAGAGGTGGCGTCATACCTTTCCCAAAGCTATTGCGCGTAAGCTAATATAACGAACCCAACAGGAATTTGAACTCGGCCATCAGATTTCCAATGCCGAGCCGTTATCCATTACACCACTTGCACATTCAAGCTTACAGCAACTGGTATTCTCAAGCGGTCACCCCTCGAGGTACTGATCAGTCGCGACGTTCCTTAACTTCGGTGATTGTACGAGAGCTTCTGTTTCAACATAATATGGTCGTAAGCTGAAAAAAGAGGAAGGAAAAAGAAAAATAGAGAGGGCAAAAGGAGGAGAATGATCAAGAAGAAGAAAAATGAAAGAGGAAAAAGATTAAGAGGAAGTTGTAATCACGAGAAAGAAGAATTGGCGAAGGAAGAGGATGCGGTGAAGATAGAAAAGAAGGCAAGTTTGGAAAATCGCAAAGAAGGAACGAGACGTAAAAGAAGAAAGACAGAACCTAAACGTTAAAACAAGTTAAATTGTAAAAAGTACGACGCTGGGCTAAAACGAAAAGAAGAAATGAAAGAATATGTACAAGAAACGAAAAGAAAACAAAAGGATATAAATATAGGAATGTGAACCGGAAAATGTGTAAAATTAAAAATACGCAGACAATAACGATAAGAACGGGTAGCGAAAACGAGTAAAATGTCGAAAATAAACATTTGAAAAGAAGAAGAAATATGGAGGCAAACGAAGAAAGTGAAAAGCGACGTAACGTTGGAATATATCACGTTTGCGAACTGATGACGCTGTCACGAGATGTAAAGAACAAAAAACATTATAAAATATAGACGGGGAAAATCAGTGAAAAAAATCATAACGTTCGTTTACGATTTTACTTATTTATTAATAACATTAAGCTCATTGACATCTACTTCAAAATATATATCGTGTTAGGCTATCATAGGTAAAAAAAGAAAAACAAAAACAAAAAAAACACGTTAGCAATGCATGTCGGGATTTTAAAATAAACAGTAAAAGGCGGGAAGTTTGATTTACAAGATGAAAGGTGTAATATCATTGTAAGGAAAGAGATGTCAGCGTCATGAATATGGAATGTAGGTTAAGGAGAACAGAAGAAGGTAAACTACAAGTCAAGGGAATTAGAAGAAAAAGCATTAAGAGTGAAGGAGATTTTTAAAATTAAAATTACAGTGCACCAAATTACATATGTATAGCAGCGAGTGTCAGCATTATAAACAAAGAAAGAAAGAAAGAAAGAAAGAAAGAAAGAAACAAACAAACAAACAAACAAACAAACAAACAAACAAACAAACAAAGGAAGGAAGGAAGGAAGAAAGAAAGAAAGAAAGAAAGAATGAGAAGGAACACAGAAAGAAAAGACAATATTAAATAAATCGTAAGAGAGAAAGCAATATTAAATTAGTTATCAAAAAGAAAGAAAACAGACAAATGTTAAGTAAATGATAAAACGGAAAGAAAGAAAGAAAGAAAGAAAGAAAGAAAGAAAGAAAGAAAGAAAGAAAGAAAGAAAGAAAAAAGAAAGTAATAGTATTGTAATATTTCATAACAAAAAATAATAAATAACTCGCAAGAAAGGAAAAATATTGAATATCTCACAAGAAAAAAAGAAATGGAAAATAACTTGAAAGAAAGAAAGAAAGAAAGAAAGAAAGAAAGAAAGAAAGAAAGTATTGGATATCAACATAAAAAAAGAAATATTAAATAACACAAGAAAGAAACAATGAAAAAGTAATGAATTTTCAAAGAAAAAAGTAGTATTAAATAACTGATAAGAAAGAAAAAAATATTGAATATCAACATATTTAAAAAGAAATATTAAATAAGTCATAAAAAAGAAAGAAAAAAGTATTAAAAATCTCATAAGCAAAAAGAAATATTAAATAACTAATAAGAAATAAAGAAAAAAGAAAGACCGAAAGGAAGAAAGAGAGAAAAGTGTTTAATATTTCATGACAAAAAAAAAAAGAAATATTAAATAACTCATAAGAACGAAAGAAAGAAAACTAAGAAAATTAAATATCTCGCATGAAAGAAAAAATCGTTAGATAATTCATAAGAAGGGAAAGAGAAAGAAAATATATTAAATAACTCAAAAAAGAAATGTCGGTTTGAAGAAAATATGATTTACGAACAGTAAGAGTGTATGAAAAAGAACGGGAAAGAATCAGAATAAATAGCAAATTAATATCAATAAGGAAAAATAAATTGAAAAGTCTGAGGATAAAAGAAAGCTAACAAACAAATAATGAAAGACGAAAATAAAAGATAATTAATGAAAAATACTACAAAAATGAAAGAAAACGAAGTATATGGGATGATACAAAACATTTTTCTTTCCTCCTTTGCAACGTATATCTATAATTTCCCAATATAAAATTTGCCTTAATTTAACTTCTAAATAAACCCTTCAAGATGGCGCCTAGGAGAAAGCCTGATGTATCGTTTAATAAAAACAAAAAAAATTACTGTTCTTAAGAACGGTTCCCAGGAGATCTCGAACAATGAGTCTTTTCGATTCAAAGTCTTTCATAATAATCTTCCTGGAATTTACATCAAAATCCGTAAAGTTGATGAACCTAATCTGAAATACTTACTAAATAAGAACATGACCTCTGTGTAGAAAGACCATAGTCAATGTGAGACATCTCTAATTTCAAACTCTATTGTAAATTAATGAAAAAATTGCCCTTGTAACGAGTAATTTCCTGCACAAAGCGGGTATTTACCTGAAGTATATTTCGTATACAAAATGTTTGCGTTCGTTTACATGTTTGATATCCACTCAAAAGAAAACAGGAGCCGATTCTATATCTATCCATGTGATATATGATAAATATAACAGACAAATATCAGTTTTTTATACAAAAATTCAAGTAAAAATAGACGAAGAATGAACAGATCGAAGACGAAAGAAAGTTTTTCAGCGAGACTAAAAAATGTGTTAAAATAACCGCCACCATAAATTGTCTTAGATAGATAGATAGATAGATAGATAGATAGATAGATAGATAGATAGATAGATAGATAGATAGATAGATGTGAAACGATTAGATAGATAGATAGATAGATAGATAGATAGATAGATAGATAGATAGATAGATAGATGTGAAACGGCGTACGTAGATAGATAGATAGATAGATAGATAGATAGATAGATAGATAGATAGATAGATAGATAGATAGATAGATAGATAGTGAACAGGAATAGATAGATAGATAGATAGATAGATAGATAGATAGATAGATAGATAGATAATGAACAGAACGTGATAGGCAGGCTTGAGCAGACATTAGATAGATAGATAGATAGATAGATAGATAGATGGAGATAGATAGATAGATGTGAAACGATTAGATAGATAGATAGATAGATAGATAGATAGATAGATAGATAGATAGATAGATAGATAGATAGATAATGAACAGTTTAGATAGATAGATAGATAGATAGATAGATAGATAGATAGATAGATAGATAGATAGATAATGAACAGTTATAGATAGATAGATAGATAGATAGATAGATAGATAATAGATAGATAGATAATAGGGATAGATAGATAGATAGATAGATAGAGATAGATATGAACAGTTATAGATAGATAGATAGATAGATAGATAGATAGATAGATAGATAGATAGATAGATAGATAGATAATGAACAGGGATAGATAGATAGATAGATAGATAGATAGATAGATAGATAGATAGATAGATAGATAGATAATGAACAGTTATAGATAGATAGATAGATAGATAGATAGATAGATAGATAGATAGATAGATGTGCATAAATTTGCAGTTCAATGAGGTAAACAAAATAAATAAATAAAATTACTTTTATACAATAAATATTTACTTTTCTACATAACCCCCTTTTGTTATCAGTTCACTTAATAGACTCGTGTGATTTGGTTTTTTGGCATATCATCTTTTCTCCGTGTTATTTAATACCGAATTCTGTCGTATAATAAATAGGTAAACCTCGGTTTGGTTTGCACAAGAGTCAAAAGGTAGGCATAGGTTTGGTTTACACGAGTGTCAAAAAGGTAAGCAACGTTATATTAAACAGGTGGCCTCATATTTTTGGTGGTCTCCTCCTATGCACGGTCCATGCATAAAATATTGCAGCCAACATGATCACCAACGACAATATATCAAAAAATAATGAAGCAATGTTGTCAATAATTTCGTTTGTCCACTTAAAAACATTTCTCTAATAATAATAATAATAATAATTCAAACAAATATATTTTTTGCAACAGAAATACATTATCGCACCGATTAAGAACACGTTAATTGGTGCGATAATAATCTGATAATACTTCGATTAGATCGCATTTTACCAATCAACGTAAAGAAAATGCAACAAGAAATCCGCTAAAACCTTACCAATAGCACAAAATAAACTGAAAAAATCCTAGAAACAACCCAACCCCAATATATATATATATATATATATATATATATATATATATATATATATATATATATATATATATAAAATTTAAGAACAAACATACTAAATATATTTCATCAATGAATAAACGACACGATAACATGAACTGCCACATTAAAACACAACGACGTGATATTCGAAAATGATGAAACCGACAACGGACAAAAATAAATCTCTTTAGTAATGGTTTATGAAAGCCGAAGGTACCCAGACATCGGACAATTTATATTTTAATATGAACCGGAAACCAAGAAAATGGTCCGAAATATGCAAAAGATAATTTTTTTTTTTTAAATATTTAACAAAGAATTATCGTTGTTCTTTAACGAAGCTTGTATAAATTAAACATATGTACATATCTTTGTGAGTATGTGTGTATGTACACGTGTGCGAGATAGAGTGAGAGGAAAGTGTGTGGTCTCTTGTGTGTCAAAGAATATGGATCCAAAAAAGCGAAGGAGACGATCAAGTGGGATGCAGTGATGATAGCGTGAAAAGCGATTCCAATTGGTTGACTCCTTTCTCAGAAGTTTTTTTTTTTTCATGCTTAGCGAAAAGTAGCCACACCCACAAAACTTTATCGTCGTTCCCACTCAACTTTTCAATCCTTCATGCATCCCCGCCTCATCCCTAACGCGACGCACTCGCCTGATTCGTCGCCATGTTTTGTGTACAACTGGAAAATTCTGGAGAAACGCTGATTTCACTATTCCGAAGATTAATTTAATTTTATTATTATTGGATATTCTGCACCCCAACACAAGCTATCTATCTATCTAGCTATCACTATATCTCTACATTTCTACCTATATCTCTCTATCTACATCTCCTTATATCTCTATCTATATACCCCATCTCTCTCTCTCTCTCTCTCTCTCTCTCTCTCTCTTCAAATAATATCAATACTATTATTCACGCTTCTCTACCAAGGATCTAGGTGTAGTATCTGTGAACACTCCCTGAGCATTTTGAGCTGGAATGAGTTAACCCTTTCTGACCAAGAAACCTCGATATTAATATTAAACGAGAAGAAATTGGGAACAGCTAAGAAGAAGAGAAGAGAATAAAGTGAGAGAGAGAGAGAGAGAGAGAGTAATAAGAGAGGAAAGAAAATGTGAAGGAGAGAAAGAAAGAAGGTAAAAAGTCTAAAGAAAACGAAAAGGAAAATAAATATACATGCGGGAGAAGGGATGGAGATTAAAGATGGGCTGACTGACTGAATATCACGAGCAAAAATCAAATAGGAATGAAATGGAGAATAAATTACAATAACTTAAAAGACTTTATGGAGACAAAATGAAAGAACGATAAAAGAGAAACAGCAGAAGAAAATGTTTCTCCAGCCTTTATTCCTTTTTACGTAGATGAAATTAATCCATGTTTTTTTATTGTAGAGAAATCTTTGGCAAGCATATATATTTCACCTTGCATTATCTTTCCATAAGTATTTACATGTATATAAGTGGTAAATATATAAAACAAATTTGAAAATTTTCACATAATTTTCTTATATATTTACTGTTCCATCGGATTATCATCCAACTACACTTACATATATATCAAATGAACTGTTACTTTACTCGCATATATATCTAAAACAGTAAAAAACGATTACAAATACTAGAAGCATCAAACATAAAAGCAAATAAATCATCAATAAAATGTTATCAAATGGAAGAACAAATATATTAATTATATTTCAAATGAAAAAATAACGCGAAAACATTAAGTGTCATGCGAAAAATGCGATACTTAAAAAAAAAATACACCATGACGCGTGAACCTGCGATATTTGAGAAACTGATATGGCGCCAAAAATAAAAATATTTTGATAATGGTTTGTAAAAATCGAAAATACGCAGACATTGGGCAATTTCTATTTCAACTTTCATCGGAAACCAGGAAAATGATCCGAAATATAGAAAGAATAAACAAAAAGTCTTTGATAATAACATTCGTAAGTCTTTAACTAAACTTGTTTAAATGTATCACATTTCTTAAACTTTGTTTACTGTGTAAACATGTTTGCGTAAGCATCCCTATCTACTGGCATAGAGATCGAAACGACCACTCAATCACGTAAGCTGGCTAAATATAATGTTCTTGGCAATATGAAATATTCCCAGATTAAAAAAAAATCACCGATTCATATATATATATATATATATATATATATATATAGATAGATAGATAGATAGATAGATAGATAGATAGATAATTTCACTGCGACGGGCTGTTTCATGCTAGACGCAATCGTCAGGCCACCGATTGCGTCTAGCATGAAACAGCCTGTCGCCTCTAAGTGTTGACTTCTATGTTCACTTTTATATTTACTTACACTCTATCCCTGATATTGAGCACTTTATCCCATAAACATAGCACACCTTAAGAGTATATTTCTTCATATATATATATATATATATCGCTTCGCCCAAACTACTAAGATACAAGAGTTTACTGAATGTGAAAGAATATGAGAAAAAGGAAAACATTATTAAGGCGAATGAACAATGAAAGAACAGGAATTAAGAAAAGAGAAGGTAACAATTTTACAGTGCATTTAACTTTTGAAGACGAGAGATAGTTCCACAAGTGAAAAGTGCGAGCGTAACATCTAGCAATGTCAACTTCAAAAGGACAATCTAGTACTGCGCTTAAATCCAAGGTACCAAAAAGGAAAGCTCACCAGAACAATTACAATGAAAATATTTAGAGAGGAAAGGGACAGAATAGCTACGTTGGAAAGTGATTGAAGCCGGAATGCCAGATCAGGACTGATAACATTGCAGGTTTTTTTTTTAAATACAGGGTAGAAGCACCAGCAAGATGTGATAGTAACATTCAATGCATAGACGAATGCGAGACTTATAAAAGTTTAAGCTAGATTCTGGCGAGAAAATTGTTTAGCACGAAACAGTGAACCAATTTTCCTAGCAACTGATATAGCAATTGATTCAATATAATCTTTCCACTTTATGTTAGCAGATAACGTTAGCCTGAAAAGTTACAATGAGTCACTCTCCTAGGGGTTAGCATTAGCCATGCTGATGGAATTCGAAAACAGTTTTCTGAAAGTTTTCTTTTTAGATGCGTTAAAATTAACAAGCCATTTCTTGGTCATTTAAATATATACTGAGTTAGTAGAAACATGTATTTGGCTAGCTAGACATTAATAATAGTTATATATTAATATATGCTGCGCATGGAGAGTTCACTTTATGGTAAGCGGAGTACAAAGCCAAAGGTTTAAAGGATTTTGTTAAAAACCTGAAAATTCTTGAAATGTCAATGACTGAAAGCAAAGAATAGGCTTTGAGGCCAAAGAGTTGAGCATTTGAAGCTGAAAAGAACTCTTAAGAAAGTTGATGTAGATTCGATCCCAGAAGATATAAGCATATATGTAACATCTATTTACGGGATGTTCTATCTCGTGCCTGATTTACTAGTCTTCTAAGATCATATAAAAAAAAGAATCGGTTGCCTAATGACGATTATGTGGATGTCCTTCCTTCCTGACCTGCTGTGAACTTATGTCAGATTTGTGAGGAAATCTGCAGATCAGTCTCTGAGCTGAAGCGGCACATAAGATTGCATCAGAAGAAAGTCACTTTCAAGACTCTCCAAAAGTATTTGATGTGTTACATATGTAAAAAGTATGTAGAAACGATGTGGCTTTACAAAGTCATCTGCCAACTCAACGTTGAAGAAATGACATTTACTATACATATTTTGTTTCTGAAGAAGTGACAGCCGAAATGTGATTTAAATCTTGACGTGGCACTTTTGTATATATTTTAACAATAAAATTATGATCCTTGTCCTTAAAACTATT